TCTGCATAAAAAAGCAATGAAAGTGAACTTTCGTGCAGATTTAATTTCCCAAAAGAATGCTGTGATCAAACACACTTAGAATATGAAAAGTTGAAATCCAAGGATGGTTTAGAACACTACAAAGTGAAGGTTGTAACAAAACGCAATGATAACCGTCTTAATAATCACCAGCGACTTCAGCTGCAAGGATGGCGAGCAAATTGTGATATTCAAGTGATCATAGACTATCATTCTTGCCTGGAATACATTGCAAAATATGCATCTAAAGCTGAGAAAATATCATCTGTTGCAAAAGAGACTTTTACATCAGTACTTTGTGAATCTTCGAATCAAAATAATGGTAAAAGCACTTTGAGGAAGTTAATGATGAAAGCTGTTGGGCAAAGAGATATGAGTATTCAAGAAGTGATGCATCACATACTTTCAATCAAACTTGTCAGTTCTTCTTTTCAAGTAATAACAACATCCCTTGATGGATCTCGCAAAGTACAATTAACAGCAGATGGTAGTTTAAACACTGAACCTTCTTTGCTTGACACTTATGCAGGCAGGGCTATATATGAAACAGATTTTCCAGGAATTTCCAATTGCAATTTCACAGAGTTTGCCTCTAACTACTTTCAATCTAAAAAAGGAATCAAAAAGCGAACTTCTCCTGTTGTGATTAAGGCTTATCCTAACTATTCTTCAAGCCCCAAAGGACCTTCTTATGGTTTGTTCTGTAGATACCAGTTACTAAGATATAAACCTTGGCAGCATTCAGTTGATAATGCATGGGGTGACAAAGAAAGATCTGATTCTGTTTACATTGATAACTGGCACTCTTTTTTACAAACACCAAATGCAAAACAATTTGTTCCAAATTGACTCCAGCAAATAAATTCAATTTCAGAATATGTGAATCAAATCATTGACAAAGACAACTTCACAGAAACAGATACCGGTGAGAGAGAAGAGTGGATGATTCTTGCTGACCTGAAATTCAATGAAAAAGATAAAACTGAACAACCCTGTGTTAATCAAACTGACTTCAACATTGCTGAAGACCGATCATTTTATACAACAGAGCAAATAGGTGATATGCCCCACTGGATAGATCAGCAAAAAAATGCCATTATACAGCAAACAAATGCAACACCAGTGCCAATTGAAATTAATCAAAGAGTTGCTTTCAGCATCATCAGAGACCACTTTTTAGGAAGTACCAATGATCAACTTTTCATGATACTAACTGGTTTAGGTGGTTCTGGCAAAAGCTTTGTAATACAAGCAGTAACAAATCTTCTAAATGAACAATGTAAAGTATGTGCTTACTTTGGAATAGCTGCATTTAATATAAAGGGGAACTACTCTCCATTCACTTCTGCAGCTACCAATAAGAGGTAAAAAAATGGACCATTAAAATCATCTGCTTTGGCAAGGTTGCAAGGTGATTTGAAAGGAGTAAAATATCTCATCATCGATGAATTTTCTGTTATTGGCCAGAAAATGTTTGGTTGGATTAACAAGCGTTGTAAGGAAGCAACTGGTCACACTACTGTTCCATTTGGTGGAATTTCTGTAATATTAGTTGGAGACATTGGCCAATTACCTTCCATTAGTGATAAGGTTATATATCACACTAAACCAGCAAATGAAATTGCTTTAGAAGGATATTGCATGTATCAAAAGTTTCAAACAATTGTTAAGCTTGAAAAAAATGAACGAGCAAAAGGTACAGACATTGCTCAACAACAGTTTAGAGATCTTCAAGCAAGGGCAAGAGATGGAAATTCAAGTCTTGACGACTGGAATTTGCTTTTGTCAAGAACACCTCAAAATGTCGAAAACATTGCAGATTTTGAAACCTCTGTTGTGAAATTGTCATTTGGAAATGAAAAGGTGGCAACACATAACTTTACAAGACTAAAGCAACTTGGAGAACCCATTGTACAGATCAATGCATATCACACCAACCCTAAAGCAAAGCAAATTAGTGCAGAAGATATGGGCGGCTTAGAACCAACTGTATATTTAGCCAGAAAAGCTAGAGTTATGTTTACAACGAACCTTTGGACTAGGGTAGGACTTTCTAATGGAACAATGGGAACTGTAAAGCACATAATTTTTGCACAGAATCAAAGGCCACCCATGCTACCAATTGCTGGAATTGTGCAGTTTGATAAGGACGATTACATAGGTCCAAGCTTTTGTGAAAATATGCCAAATTGTGTGCCCATTTTTCCAGTAACATCTCATATTAATGATACAAATGGACTAAATCTTGAAAGACAGCAGCTGCCATTAAAACTTGCATGGTCCATAACCATTCATAAGTCACAAGGGCTCACCCTTAAGAAATCATGGGTAGACTTAGGACCTTCTGAAAACGTTGCAGGACTAGCTTATGTTGCCTTGTCAAGAGTACGTAAACTTTCTGATCTTGTGATTGAACCAATGAGCTTTGAAAGACTTCAGTCAATTAAGAAGACATCAAATTATAAATTCCGTTTGTTAGAAGAAGCTAGGCTAAACATTTTGACAGAAAAGACCTTGCATAATTACGAAAACAACTTGCAGTGAAACTGCATTATTACATTTTACAGTATCTACCATACTAATTAAGGTGATTCCCTAGTTTTGCACTGCGCATCTCTTACTGCGCATAACAAGATGGCCGCCGTAAAAAAGAGCATGTGAAGTAATATTATTAAAATGAGGTTGACTGAAGAGAAACGCTATTAGAATTTTTGCTTGCTGTTGTTTCTTGCCGAGGTGAGACTCAATGTGTTGGGAATGTGCATAACGTAAGCAGTACGCGTGTTGCTGAGTTTGACCTCCTCTCGGAGAACCTCGATAGTGGATGTTTAACTTGTGCTTACTCACTTTGATTCTCATTTAAACACTTTCTTTTTCACATTGTGTCCTAAATGTGATATCTCGATGTAAATTCTGTAAAAACGGGTTTTTTAATACTTTTTCCCCCCTTTCACATACCGTATTTATTCGATTAACCGCCCTGGGCGCTTATTAAATTTTTGGACCTTGAGAGTGGGCTCTTATTCGAGGTGAGCGCTTATTCGAGGCTGGGCGCTTATTAAATTGTCACCATTTTCAGCAAGTGAAGTATGTTTATTTTGTAACAAAACAATAAATGCTAATAAGAAAACGTGAAAGAGTAACAAAGCAAGGTTTTTGTAAAATACTCTGAGGAAGATTCCGTCCTCGGGGAAGTCTCTTATTAGAATTTATTCACTCAAGTGGGTAGGGTGGGGTGAGCGCTTATTTGAGTTTGATTGGGAGGAGTAGGGGGTGGGCGCTTATTCGAGGGTGGGCGCTTATTAACTTTTTCTGCCTTTGGGATGGGCACTTATTCAAGGTGGGCGCTAATTCGAGGTTGGGCGCTTATTCGAATAAATACGGTACATTCTATTTTGAAACTCGCCCCAGTCCTCTCTCAAAAATCGGAGAAAATGCGTTTGGCGCGCACTTTCTGCAGCTCTACACCGCAAAAACGAGTACGGTGACCCCCATTTTTTATTTCATGATTTTAATAACGACAGTGCTTCCTTTCGATGAGAAAAAAAAATTGGCACAAATCTATGTTCAGTTTTTTGGCAGTTTTACTAAATTGTAACGGATTGAGCCACCAGGGTCGAAAAGCGGCGTCAATTTAATTCTGCTTTGGGCGTAAAAAAAAACAAGGGCATTAAAAGGCATTTTTCTGGTACGTAAGTGGATAAACAATACATTAAAGTCAAATTCTGTGTGATGGTACATGCATCATCGAGAAAATCTCTCCTTTTTGTCTAGTTTTGCGCTGCCGGTGGTTTTTGTAAAAGGGTCCTAAATAGCCGTATTTGTCAGCATTGTGACGTCAAAACGAGCACGGTGAGCCCCACTTTTTATTACTTTTTTGTCATCTTCTTGACTTGTTACATCAGTGTACCAAGTTTTAGCTAAAATCTACGTTAGGTTCTTTTACTCTGGAATCACCTTAAGTAATTATTACCATCAAAACTTCTAACCTAAAAATTTTTACATATACACTTATCATTTAAATGTTTTATCAGTGTAATAAAGGTCACTTACGAATCATTCAATTCTCAGTTAACAGATGGATTATTCTGCCAGCCCAAGTCCCACAAAGAGGGCTAAGTATGGGATCCCTAAATCCCTAACTTCAACACCTCTGTAAAGCTCAACTACAAGTAAGTTTTCCTCTATTATGTAATGTATTAATACTACTAATAGTTTATTACTGTTATGTCTTCTATTACTTATGCAGATTTCTGCTTAACAGAACATTAAATTTTTGTCCTGAATTTAATTATTTTTTTCACAAATTATTTCTCTTCAACAGATTACACTGGATACATTCAGGACGTTCAAGAGGTACAGGAAAGTAAATCCTCCAGAAATCTGTACTTTGACATCAGCCTGCTAACTGCAAAAGCCAAAACTCAGTTGGTAAGAGTCCTGGTGCAAAGAGGAGAGTCTTCCGAGCACCAACTTTTTCTTCAAAAGATGCAGACACAGCAACCCGTAACACTCTCCAACCTACAAGATGCATCAAGCAACATGGTGTTCCTAAACAGGGGAACAGTTATTCAAGATGCACCACCACATTCCATCCAGTTTCCATTCCAACCACTGGCCCCAATGACATCAACACCCGTGGATACCATTCTTAAGAACCACAACTCGGGGAATTTTACTGTTTCTGGCTGCATTAAATGGCTTGGAGATCCTTCCAAACCAGAACATGCAACAAAAATGGTAAGGGACGCTGAAATAACAGACCCCACTGGAACTATTAATCTATCAGTCTGGGATAGTCACATCCAGCAGATAGAAGACAATCAATTCTACACTGTGACCAACTGCAAGCTGAAGCAGTATTTTGGAAAACGCCTTGCCACCACAGTTAACACAACGATAACGAAAGCACAAGAGCAGGACATCTCCCATGTGGACCCTTAAGACAAACAAGCAAACTGGGTATGCTGTCCTGAAATTTTGAACATTTACCCAACTGTCTATCCAGTGTGCAACAACAAAGACTGTCATAAGAAAATTAGTGAAAACCCTGGGTCCAAGATTGTTCGTTGTCTACACTGTAACAGAGCAATGCTTCTGAAGCACTGCTATATTGAGAAAATGAACATTAACTTTCATCTAGAAAAACAGGACCAGCACTTTTCAGTGACAGCATTTCCAAAGATTGTGGGGAACTTCCTCCAAGAAGACATCTTGCAGTACAAAGACAACATTGACGATCTAACTGAGAAATTGCTGGTGCTCGAAAATGTAGATTTTGAGCTTTCTCAGAAAAACAAACTTGTTATAAGTATGAAAGCCCATGCCTCAACTTCACAGGAAAAGTGAACAGCTAACTGTCAGGTAAAAAAAAGACTGTTAAGTTGAACAGACACTAGAGAAAATTTAACAAAAGAGTACAATTTATGATATTAGAGTGATTTTGCTTGGCCCGTGAAACACTATCTGACAATCAGTGCGTAATAGTCAAAACTTAACAAAAGAAAGCAATGGAATAAGTGTGTAATACTAACTCATAGTGTAGTAGCTATTTATGGGCCAAATAAAATCACTCTGACCACAGTCGTTTCAAGTGATTCCGTTAAAAAACTTAATAAGCTGATTTAGCTTACCCCATGAAACGATATCTGTTAAGTGCATAATAGTCAAATTAAACAAACAAAACAGTGGAGTAGTACACTGTAAAATGAAAAGAGCCAATTCGGCCCCAAAAATGGGGCCGAAACGGGTGAGTCCAGAATGGTACTGTTTTTGGGGCCAATTCAGCCCTATTGAGATGGGGCTGTTTTGGTACCAAAATTTGGGGCTAATTTGGCCCTTGCATCGGG